TCACCACAGACACACAAAAGTGACAAAGACAACCACAACGTAGGAAAATGTTTGGGAAGAACACTGTCACAATCTCTTACCCAGTAGGGTAGCTAACACAATCAAGAGGTGAGGATGCAGAGAAAACAGGAGCTTCTAGACTGTGGATGGAAATATCTACTCATGAACCATGTGAGGAAAAGCATTGCTTAGGAAAAGACTCAATCCAGTAACTCCATTTCAGAGTTTACATAGACAAGACCAGAAGCCTGGAGGTGAAGAGAATTTTGTCATCCCAGGTAACATCAACCCCACCCCCATAGCCACAAGGCAAAAACAACCCTGAACTCCTCAGAGGAGGGATTCTGAACAAAGACAGGGTATGTTGATACAGTAGTGTGAGATTCAGACCCAAAAGATCTGAACAGCAGCAGAAACTACAGCTGAAAAGCCCGAGAACTATGACAAATCAATCAAAAAAGGACGTTGACCTCTATCACAGGCGGCCTGTAGAGCACTACTGTTTACACCAGGAAGGAAGAAGACATTAGGTTCTGGGGTAGAAGAAGAAGGGAATTTTGATACAGTGGGTCAAGAGGAATGGACTTCTAGAGCTCTGTCAGACAAATCATAACATTGCAGAATTCTAAAGCATCAGAATAGTTTGAGTTCCTACACGATTTTCATTCACCCATGTTGCACCACGGTTGAGAACCAAGATAAAGAAGGACATGAGCAGTAAGCACACCTGTCTCATGCCACCACTGCATGAAAACACTAACCTTGATTCAAACATGAGCTCGATGCCACAAAGCAAATTCCACACACCCATCATGGGGTAGAAGCTACCTGTGGTTTGGAAATGAATGGGGAGGATGGGCCTCCCCAGAAGGGGCAAAGGCCAGGTCAATATGAACACTAGTCTCTGGAGGCCAGGGTGCCTCCTAATGCCAGCCACATACCTTGTGAGCACATCTGGATACTGGGTTTCTTGGAAAATGATCTCCATTTCCTGCACCTGCCACTGTGTGAAGTGGAACTGGGTTTGGTGCCTGCTGGGCTGTATCCTTGGAACCTCAGCCAGCAAGATGGCTGGCTCCTCTGGGTCCGCCTCCATGGCAACCTGGTTGATGTGGTCACCTTCAGGACCCAGGCTCATGTGGCCTCCCTGGTTGAGGTTGCCCTGTTGGTTCTCACTGTTGTCCAGACTTAGAGCTCCTTCATAGACCCTGCCACCTGATTTTGGTGCTCCCTCATGTTCAGGGTGGGGCCCAATGTCGTCCTCACAGTCCTCCAGATGATGGCAGAAGTTGTCGTTGTAATTGTGGAGGTTCTCCATGGCTGCTGCTCCTCAGACGCCTAGTCACCAGCACACTCCCTGAGGTGTTTGGAAGGAGCTTTACCCTGGGGGCTTTCAGTGGGTTGCTGACACGAAGATTCAGGCCCTCCTCTTTCTAGATTGCTATTGGCTTTCTGAGTGCTTCCTACATTAGTGGGTGTGTCTCTGAAGTGAGAATTGGCTGGGACATGGCCCAAGCATGGGATGGGGGAAGGACAGTGTTTCTTACTTTTAGAAGACCTGCTCAGACCTGGCTGCCTACCCTGGCCCGTGGTCTTGGACCTCACAGAACTCCTTGGGAATGGGGCTATGGGAGATTGCAGGCTGATTTTAGCATGGAGAGTGGGGAAGGGGGGGACTCACAATGACCACATGAGGCATGGGTGAAGATTGGATAATTTCTCAACATCCCAGACCCCACATTTCCTAGTCTCTATGACACATGAGATGAACATTGAGTGGACAGGGTCAGTTCTGTGCGTGTCTGCTTCAAGAGTCTTCAAGGACTCTGAAAGCACAGGCCAGTCTCTGACCTTTACCTTCCATAGTGACATTTTGGTCCTATGTTTACAGTGTGTTGTGCAGTACTGCAAAAAAAGCCAGTGCAACCCTTGGAAAAGTTACAAGGGAAGTCATAGAAACTGAGCCTCATGATTTCAGGAAGAAGCTGTGTATGGATTTGGGATTTCTGAGGGAAGGGATGTTTACAACATGCCCTCAATGAACAGCAGAATGTCTTCACTTCTAAAGTGTCAATGAAAGCTCTTTCTCTTAGACAGATCCCAGCCAGTCATATGTAGTCAGCTGTCAGAAACACAGATGCCTTTTCACACATATTTACCTGGTCTCGCCACCATCTCTGCCATGTTTTATGAAGGTGCCCTCTCACAGACACACTACTGGTCCCTTGCACAGCAATGTAAGCCTCAGAAAAGTGGAGCCTCATCTACTTGATAGGAAGGCCAGTCAGAACCTGAGCCAGACATGTGGTCACCTAGAGGATGCCTCAAAAGGGTCTGGCCCTACAGCTGGATAAACATTTTGTGTAGCAGTTTCCTCCAAGATAATACATTCCATTTGGAGGAAAGCTCCTGAAGACACACGACATTCCAAATGGAGGTGAAACATTTCATAATAAGGGAGAGATGGTTAAGACACAGAAAGTAAAAGGCTCAAAAGCTCCAACCAGCCTTACTAGATGTTTGTAGAATATTGCCCCTTCTCTGCATCAATTGATATTTTTAATGCATTTGTTCAGGAGAGAATGCAGATCTAGCTGGTGGGTTGTTCCTGGTCCCTGCTGTGTGTTGAAAAGTATCAAAAACCCCGGAGAACTATCTCAAGGCTCAAAGCTGTCCGTGAAAGGATCCATGGTGATAGCCTTTTGTGAGTATCCAGAATGCACATTTTATGAGACAAAGGGCACTTCTTCCTGTTCTATGCTTCCTCCCTAGCCTCCAAGCATACTGTCTATAGGCCTTTTCCCTTATGGGCACGTGGTCTGGAAAAGCCAGGGCTGATTGTAATGGTGAACACAGTTCACATTCATAACCAACAAAAGACTGGTAAAAGGGCACTGGGACGTTTGAGGTTCCTGGTCCCAGTATTGATTGAGAACTAAG